CCCCAAAACCCCAAAACCCCAAAACCCCAAAACCCCTTTAGTTTTCTATTTTATTGACGATTTTATAATCATTGATATAAATCAAATATGTTGAACTTTGGATCTAGGTTTGGATTAACAGGAACTAGAGTGGCATTAAAGCATGCTAAAATTGGGAGTAATTTTTATAAAGCAGCTACCGCTAATTCTCTTACAAGTAGAGCTTTATCAACAAATGAGAAGTATAAGTAAGTGTGGATTAACAAGAAATTAGTTTTATCAAGAAAGTTGAGAAATCTTCTTTATCTCATGGACAGTACGATCTTGAGGGAGGGCACTCTTTGACACAATATCTTTCTTTGTACAAATTTTATAACGATAATATTGGGTATGTCCTTTTGGACCCTAAGACCAACAGCCTCATTCTGATTGATGCAGGCCACTATAAAACTTCAAGAGATGTCATTGAAGAACTTGAGGAGACTCATGAAGCCAAATTAAGATACATCTTTACAACTCATGGGCACTGGGATCATGTCAATGGCAATGAAGAGTGGAAGGAAAATCGACCAGAGCTAGAAATCATCACAGGAAATTACCCGGATGTGGATATTCCAGCTGCAACACAGAGAATGAATGATTTAGATACAATGACAATCGGGGATCTCACATTCGCATGTTTAAACGTTCCAGGCCATACAATTGAGCATGTCGCCTTTGTTGTGACCCATGTTACTGAGACTTCTACTAAAATTCCCTTCTTATTCTCAGGCAAGTTTACTTTTCATATTATAGGAGACACATTGTTTGTGGGAGGATGTGGAAGAATATTTACTGGAACAGCTGAACAGTTATTTTATAGTTTACAAAAATTGATAAACCTTCCTCATGATACTCTTCTATTCTGTGGTCATGAATATACTAAAGCAAATCTTAAATTTGCAAAGTATGTTGATCCAGACAATTCTGCGATAGATATGAAAATGGACCAAGTAGATGAGGTCCTTTCAAAAGGACAGTTCACAGTCGGATCAAGACTTGGAGAAGAACTCATGTGTAAGCATTTATTAAATACCCATAGATAATCCTTTTTACAAGTGTGTATCTACCACAGAGGAGAACCCCTTCCTTGATCCAGGTAATTCTCTCTACATTTAAAGTGATATTGAAATTTGTAATAGTACTCCAAACACAAGACCCTGTTAAGAGATTCGAAAAGATCAGAGCTCTCAAAGACAACTTCTAGTTCCTGAGACGACTCCATTCAGGCTTAATGTTTGTTGGGAATATCTCCACCAGGGATATCCTTGTTGGGGTTTTGGGGTTTTGGGGTTTTGGGGTTTTGGGG